ATTATACCATTCGAGTGGGAATTTCGAATCGTTGTGTGTATCGTAAAATCGAAGAACTCTGATAGAAGTCAGTTTTCTGATCATTTTTCTTCACGGCCTTACTGTTTAATTAATTTTAATTGCAAACAAAACTATATTTATATTTAGAACAAAACTATATTTATACGTAAATTAATTGTTCATGCATTATATTTCGTATTTCGCATTTGTATATTTCGTATTTGTGTGACACTTAACACAAATCACTGAATTATTATATTAATGAATAATTATACGGATATTATATTACTTGTAAGGCAAATTAGAGCTGTGAAGAACGAAGAATATTTAACTGCACCAGTTTAAAAAGAATTACAAGGTATATCGTCATTCATTCATATTATCGATAAGACATTATTATTCATCTACAATATCAACATGATAATTTCCTATAGAAACGCTTCTGCAAAGTACAAGTAAACGTACCGCGGTGTCATGTCAATAATTCTGGTATTGCTCGTCACCGTTTCATTACGAATTCTAAATGTCAATTGGAAAACCGCCTTCAAATGTGGTTCATCCATGCATGGGAACGCTCGGCGTGCGTAGGTCGGTGAAAACTGCGTAACCGCCATCCACCTGGAAAATTTTTTTTTCATTTTTCACAACCCCGTGAGAGAATTCTGTCGTCAACGGCGAGTGACACGAGAAGATCGCAAAAATCAACATATACTTTGCTCTGCCATTTTCTTTGTAGAGGCTCCTGTAAAATCCAAACACATCGTCTCGTATCTCACCCTCGAACTTGATCGTCAATGTGTACTCACTGGGCTCCAATTCCCTCTCAGTTCTTACAATGTAAAACTGCCTTTCTCGATCATAAGACTGACACAGGATATTCTCAAGAATCGAGGGCGATTTGCTTTCGTGAAGAGTCACCTGTTCCCCTATGATACGTAAACCATCGCTGTGCACGACGATAGTGCTCGTCGACTCAAGGACTTTCAGGAATATCGACACCGATCCGAGATACGTGAAGTTTCTCTCATTCTTCTCTAAATGAACGGAGTATTTCGTTGGGACGACATCTTTGGGAAGTCTGTACGACAGGTGATCGGTATCGTTCACAGTTGCATTTCTCTTGGACGACAGATTACGAGGGCACACTGTTGCAAACGCGACAATCAAATGTATTAGGACGCAGAATTGTAATTCACGCTTCATGTTATTGCTATTATGTTTCATGCATCGCTATTGCGATTTACAACGGCCAATCTCAACAACTATTAACGTCGTCTAACGGCACCAATCACTGAATCCACAATAATTTCGTTTTATCTTTTGATCACCGGTTGTGCGATAGCGCAGCTCTTTTTTCAATCGTACATTCAATCTCTGCCAGAACAGAAGGCAGAAACCTGATAAAACGGGTAAATCGTCGTGATTTTGATTTTCCTGATTTTCCAATGGAACTTGTACCATTTTATTGATTCTATGACTTAATTTTAATTAATCAGTTTTTAATTTTAACTTGTTTATTAATTTCGAAAAGTTGGCTCGCAACAGTGTTTTCTCATTGATCACAGATGATAAACTGAAAATTAGTTAGAATAATATGACGGCTATAGAATATTTTTAAATTTAAATATTTTAAGGAAATTTGATTTAATAATTGAACTTATTTACGGGCGTAATGTTGTATAATGATCCTTAGCTTTATTTCAAGCCATTCCGATTAAGAATAGAAGTTTGTTTTGTTATTTATTAGTAATGCCTTTCAATCTCATTTTTTTTTTTCTTTTTTTTTCTTACTGAACATTGATGTTGCTTTATCTGAACGCTGTGCAATGAACTTCTACCGTGTTTCATTAGTAGGTTAAACCTATTAAGAACAATTAAAGAAAACATGAATCTATCGGCGATAAATTATAATCTTATCGCTTTATATAAAACACTTGACAAGATACGTTTGCATTTTGTAAGACTTTCGTGATTACGAAATGTCCTGCTTGATGCTTGCAAATGCTAATTCTTTATTTTCATTTGAATTTGTCGGTGAATTTTATTTCATTTGTAAAATTATTTTAAAAGGACAGCTGGTGGCCATGATAATTCGAAAGACGGTTTGACAAATGAATCATCGATCCCATATGCATCTGAAATATAAATTGTTATACCTTCAGTTTCCATGCAGATAAGATTTTTTTTTTTATAATACAAATATAAAATTATTTTTGCATTAATAATTTTAGCGAAAGTCACGGATACTTCCGTCTTTTACGTGATTTAACACGGCGTTATAACAATCGTGCAGTTTCGATGAAAAATAAATTAAACAATTTTACGTATTATTATTATTGTTGTTATTAATGTAATTTTATATTTTTTTTCTTTCGTTTTATACTTTTTATCAACGATTATGTAGTTTTATGTTCTCTCTTTCTCTTTCGTTTTCATACTTCTTATCAAAGATTATGAGATATCAAACTAAGACGATGTTACACACAAATGAAGTATAATAATCGATTACGTATGTAATGTAAGATTTTGTTTTGTAATTTTAGCAGGAAAACGGTGACACACAAAGGGAAAGGAGAGATGTAAATTCAATTCTTTTCGTTACATATTATGAAGGAATTCGATGAGAAATAGACGTTCGTACCACGTTTCGATTGTTTTATTCTGAGCAAAGTACAAAACACTTTCAGCTTAAAATCTAACGTCGTCGTTCCGCAAAACTTGCGAATCTCTCGACCGAGCATCGTGGCGTAGCTCGCAATAATTTAATTAAGGCAACTCTGTCGTAAATCTATGTATACGCGTTGTTCACGCCCTCTTTAAATATATTACTATTCACCACCATGGTATAAATCATAAAGTTTCGTTTCTGTTACATGCCGACTCGCTATAATAAGTTCCCTACGCGCTCGTTCCTTATCCGCGATTAAAACGAATAATTTAAAAAAAAAAAAAATAAAAAATAAAAAATAAAAAAAAACAGAGAACAAGAAGAGCGAAATCCAAAAGATCGTTTCGGATAACAAACTACTCCGACTAGACAAGCAAGCGATTGATTTTTCAAGCAGAATGCGTAATTACAAATAATTCTGTGCTATTTACAGAATCCCTCTTCTACGTGTACTCAGGATCTCGACGTTGTATCCTACGAAGAATAAATTAATGTATTAGGAATAAATTGTATTGAACGATCAAGTAGTGATCTCTTACGAGCTTCTTGCAATTGATTCGTTTCTAAGGGAAGAAACGGATGAAGATTGAAAAGTATAAAGGCTGTTCATTGTGTCGATGATAATTAGACTGCGGACATTTACGCGTTTATGCTAGGATGTACAAGGATAAATGAAATATATAATAGAAAGGGGAAAAAGAGAAAAAAATAAAAATATCAAAAGTGAAGTGCACGTTATTACATTTCGAAATTCGTTCAAGTTGTCACTTCTTATTATGTATTTGAATAAAAATTAATTAGCATAAATATCCACAGCCGTGTAATGGTAAAATGCAAGAATATTATGAACCAAAAATGTTCCTCTTAAATGTCCGTTCGTGTACAAAACGTTTATAATAATCGTTATTTTATGTAATAGTCATCAGCTTTTTTCCCGTTCAATTCGTTCTTCGATACAGTTGGCGAAGCATAAAATATATATATATATATATATATATACTTATATCACTATTTTAAATTGTCGAAAGGATTATTTGCATTGCGACTTATTGCTTTCAGCGAATTCGCGTTTCGTACGATAATAATATATTAATAGTAATAATTTGTAAGAGTAGAAATCTTATGAAAAATCTTCGGTTTCAGTTATACGATCTTAATAGTAGTTTAAGTCAATATCATGTGATACGAATATATATCATCGTCATCGGCTTTTCTGTTCAACTTTCAACGTTTCGATCAGCTAGTTTCGCACTAATGAAGCGAATCCAATACTGCATAATACTAATTTAACTCCGACATCACGCCAGCACGTTTCAATAAATTATTGTCTTCCTCTATAAACGATACGCCGAACGAATTAATAATCCTAATCGAATGAATTCAGTGTGAACGATCGCTTGGTAGATTAGATCGATGCAAAAGTTCGTTCGTTCGTTCATTTACGTTCGGTTGTGATTAAAAGTCTGCTAAAAATAAATAATTAAAAATAATAACGGCTTCCTCCGTGTATCCTCACTTTCCCTTTCAACTGACATTTCAGTTAAAAAGAAAGGACGAACTTTTGCATTGAACGTCAAGTTGAATTGTTTCTACGATTTTGTTCGCATCTTTTGAATCGTATTTGCACGAAACTTGAGTTATTGTGAACCTGAGGTATACGATTGCGATTCTGTGCTTTTGATTTCACATTCCGTTCAACAATTGATATTCACGAGAGTGTGAAATGATCATTAAAATCTCCTTCCTCTTAGCTTTTTATAACATTGTGCAATTAATCCGTATACAATAATGTTGTTTCACTATTGTATTCCATCGATGCATCGTTAAAAGAATAGTTTATAACAACGATTAGTTTAGAATAGACTTTTTTTTAGAATAGAGGTCAGAGTAAATTAGAATAAACAGGTACAACCGATCTGTTAAAGATTTATTAATTTACTAAGTAAAA